AAGGGGAGAGAGAACTTTTTTAAAGACACAGACCGGATCTTTACCCTAAACAATACTTTAAAACTCTGGACAGCATATCAAATGAATCTGCATTCCTTTTCTCTGAGGAAGGACTCGAGCTGCAGACTTTTAATTTACGGAGCATGATTAAGGAAATTGTACTTGTGATCAAGGCAAAAGTAACCTGACTGCGGCTGATCAAAGAGCTGAGAGTTGCAGTAGCTAATGGACTGCTACTGAGCCAAATCTTGCTAGCGAACTCAATAACGGGCCGAGCTATAAATGAAAGCACAGGGGGAGAAGTGAAGGTTAGAAAAGATGAAAGCTACTCGGGGCTGGAAAACCACAGAGCAAGTCACTTCTGGGTATTCAGTACTCAGGGTTGGAAGGGAAGAATTGTCCCTCAACACTTGCACCTTGTGTGGTCTTAAGATCTGGGATTCGATGCTGGAAAGAGCTGTGAGACGGCACAGAATCAAAACTAACCTGGATGCGCATGCAGCAATATGTGAATTCAGAGGATAGGACAGAGAACTACAGGAGTAACCAGCCCACCACATATATGTGCGACGTGCTCAGTTGTGAGCCTTGCGATCTTTTTTTGGTGCTTCAGTGCAGGTTTTTTGTGTTGCTCAGGGATCCCCAGGGGAGAGAAATTATTTGGGTTTGAGCAGAGGAAGCAAGGACTAAGTGAGCAAAGGGTGGACAGTTTAAACTCTAGTGAATATAATACGAAATGATGATTCTTCCCGGGGAGGTTGAAGTACAGGTCCCTTTTGCATAGGAGGGTGGTTGTTGAGAGTGTCTGTTGCCGCTGAGAACATGAACCTGGCTAATTAATCAGCTGCCTCCCAGCCCACCCCACCCCTGCTCCTTGGTTGGATGTTAAATATAAATGCATGAAGACAACAGGAAGGACAAACTTCTATACTATTACCTATTTGTGCTATTTATACTCTCTGATGCATCGTCAGTTTGCAGGGATTCATATCGTGTAGAGTGGGAGTTAATAGGCAGTACATGCACTTACAACATAGCGAGTGGGAGAGGGTACAGAGCTCCTCATGGAGAAAGTACAGCATGCGGCGATGCTGCGGGAAGAGGCCATTCTGCATGGTGCTGCCCGGCACTGATCCATCGATGAGGTGGCAGCTGGATGTGATCCGTTTGTAAAGCCAATAATATTGGGAAGAAAGGGAGGAAAATGGGACTTAATTCTTTGCTCAGTAGATGCTGCTTCACTGACTCCTTAATGGTGTTACAGCCTGCTTAAGAAAACTGACTGGCACAGAGGGCGGGAGCCTTTCCCCTCCGTGGGGCCCATGCTGATGGAAAGTCCAGGTGACAGTTCAAGCACTGTTGTGAGTTGAGCTTTCACGCAATTTCCCATTGTGCCAGTGTCTACATGGCAATTAGCATCCCATAGCATCCCGTTTGGCAGCCTCAGCAGAAAGGCTAGCAATCGGACTGTCCTGGGGACTGAACCAACATCTTACCCATCCAGTAGACACTGGCACAGGCACACACTGTCAGGATGGCATGGAGATTGTGGGCCACCTCTGCCCACCAAGTACCTCCTATTGTAGCTCCTCAGAGAGTTTGCACTTGCCAGGGTTTTCTTCTGGCCCTTTGCACGAGCTCAGGAAACAAAATCAGGGACCTCTTATACAAGGAATCTATTGGAAACAATTGGGCTGTTTGTGAACAGGATATTTCTCATTAAGAAGGGGCCCTATAATCTTCTAAAATGTCACTGTTTATACATGTGACATGGGTCTGGGATTTCCTTCATATTGCAGGTGCGCTTTAATTTTTACATGATCTCTTGGCCCTTCCATTGCCTCCTCTCTGCATCTCTTTCACCTGTTTTGGGGCTTTGCTATTTGGTTAAGCAAGAAACAATCCAAGGGAATCCCTGGGGCTCAGGAAGTTTCCTACCCAGCGCCCCCGCTAGTGCCTCGGCCTGGAGCCAGGTCCTTCCTCCGCAGGATTCCCATACAGTAACGCAAGCTACTCAGCACTGGAGCTCGACGTCTAGAACGTGGGAACCCAGACACAAAACAGCACATTGACGATAGAGGTATTCATCTGGGTTTCTACAGTTCCTGTCTGTCTTCAGGGACTTAATATGTCTTTCCTTCTTTCTTGGTGAAATTTAGCTGTGTGCAGAAGGCCAGCACATCACTGACACACCATTTATGTCCCATGCAAACCTGAGGGACGTTGACAGGCATGGACCTCGTGCCGGATGTCTTCACAAGGGCACATTTCATCCTTTAGCAGTGGTTCGAAGTGGGCTCATTCAGGGACCGAGTCCCTTCCCACTCACAGTCATTTAAGCAAGGAAGGGCTCCTACGAGATCGACGGACTTGCTACTGTTAGGAAAGCTGGCAGCGAGTGACTGGGAGGTCAGGCCTTCGTTTTGCAGTTGCTGTTTTATTCTGCCACAAATCTCAACTGTTGTCCATTCAACCTGCCTGCCTTGTGGTGGGAAGAAAATGGACAGGACCTGACCCCATAGCATGTACATGTAACCCAGTGGAGTTCAAGCTGGGCTCCTAGGATATGCCTATATTAACTCCGGAGCAAGCCTGAAAGAGAAATCCTGCCCACTCATGCCTCAGCCTGCAGATCAGGTAGCCCGGGCAGCTCATAAGCATCCCTGAGACACAGAGCAGGCAGGACTTATGCTTCAGTGCCCTTCAGAAGCCGTGGAGATACTGCTTTAGTTGCCCTTTAGCGGCTGGGCATGTAAAGAGGACTGAGTCAACCATTTCCTTTGAGATATGTCTGCTAGCCTAACCATCCGTGCACCATGCTTCCAGAAGCAGTGGCCCTGGGTCCAGATCCCACAGATGTCCCAGCTGATATTGCATGCAAATGCCCTGTGCTTAAATCAGGTGCAGTAGAAGAGCACTGGGTTGTGCCTTCCAAAGTAGCACCAGGTAGGATGTGCTGAATTTCCTAACTGCAGTTCCAGTCTGGCAAGAGCTGCTGCATATGCACAGTAGTAGAGGTCAATTGGCAGAAGCCATGTTTGAATCCAAATGTGCCCCGAAAGGTTTTTGATCAGATCAGCTGTTCAACCAGTAAAAATTAAACTGGTGCAATTCTGCATATAAACAGGGCTTACGACCTCTTTGTCTTCAGTTAGATTTGGTGTGCCAAATGCAGAGTGGATGCGTAAGCATGGGAGGCTTCACCTACATTTTGATAAGGCGATACGTAGTCAAAACTTGTGAAAAGTCTGAATTAGAGGGTGATGGGATAGGGGAAAATGTAAGTTATACCTTCTTGGGCTTCCGTCTGAAAACACTTTCCAACAAGTGGGAAGTTCTTTCCGTATAATAATGCCATGTTATATAGACCAGAAAATATACACTCACCTTTATGAAACTCAGAAAAAGGCCGTGCTTGTTGCCCTGCAGTGTTTGCAGACACATTTCCAGTTGGTTGCTACGTGTGAATGCCTCAGTCTTTGTGGGGGTTCATTTGTACCTGGACATGTATGAAGTATTTGATTTCTAGAGGCTTTGAGCACCTCTAGCTCCCACTGGCTTCATTAGGAGCTTTGGGTGGCAGGTCTTTTTCCAGATTAGATGCAGGGTGTCCTAAATGAGGTTTTCAAATATAAGGCACTTATTTTTAACTGCAAGCTCAAACTGTTAAGGGAAATCATTCCGTGAGATTTTTTGGGACCTCCCATAGGAAATAACTCTCACAACGTTAATTGATAGTCCATGAGAGTTTCAATTAAGTGGTTATTGAAAACTTAGTATTTTGATGCCATCTTACTTTAGAAAAATCTGTTAAGTATGTTTAACCCACGTTTCAGATCTGTTCCCTATATGTAATCCCAATGAAGGAAATCTTTATGCTTTTTTCTTTCCTTAATGAAAATACAAAATATCTAGAAGAGGTAGTATGTAGTTACCGACAAATCAATTTGAAGGCCAGGAGAGACTATTACTGCCACTTATTGCTAGCTCTTGCATTAAGCTTCTGTTCTCACTCTCTCTCTCTTAGATATCACATTTTGATTAGTGATGAAATGTCACTTCAGTAGGTAGGCCGATCAGGAGCTTGGTTTTATATCGTTAATCTTCCTTTTGTAGTTTCAACATGTTTTCATTAAATGTAGTGGACAGCATGGGCTCCCTCTGGTGTCTAATTTCAATACATGGCATTCAGTTTAATTTGCCCTTTTATTCCAGCCCAATCTATATGGTGGGAGTGTTGAACTGAGAAAACAAAGCCTTTGTTTGTGCTTTCACTGAGAATTTGATGTCCACCGTATTTGTGTGTATAAGTAACATTTAAATCCTGTTCCACCCTAAAGTAAAGGGGTCATATATCAAAAACATGTACCTGGAAAACAAACAGTGAAAAAGCCAAATTGTATAAAACTGTGGAGAAAAACCCAAATAAAACATTCTCTCCTTGGCATGTAGAAGCTGCAGAGTTCAACCTGAGGAGGAAAAAATATGGTCAAATTTTCAAAAAGTGCTCAAGCTCCTATGCAGACTTCTCAGGAGAGGTGGCAGATTTTCAGAAGCACCCAACGCTCCCCATTATTCATGGTCAGCGAGGGGCTTTGAAAACACGGCTGCTTCACTTAGGCTGGGGGATATAACCAGCTGCCTATCTTGGTACCTACATTAATGAGACTTACAGTGTGTAGAGCATTTTTTAAATCTGGCCACTTATTTTGAATTAGCTGAATGGAAACGGTTGGGTATTCTCTCTTGAAAATCTAGCAGTTAGCACTTTTGTTTCTAGAGTGATGGGTACGTTTGGTGGAAAAGGCATTTTGAAGTCACAGGTGATATCAGATTTTCACTGTTGAGGAATATCCTTGTTCTAGCCGGGGGTTACATCATGCAGCAGTGAATTGGCAGGGAACACGGCACAATTCTCTCGATTCACAAAGACATACTTTAAGGTCTAGGGTTGGTTTGTAATTTTTGTTGTTCTAGTCATTGCTCTTTTTTTTCTGCAGGTACTTTGAGTTTTATGAAGGTCCTTTGGAGTACAACTCAACAAAATGCCTAGAGCTGAGACAGGATATAATTGATGTGAAAGTGCTCTCTATGTAAGTATGAGCAAGTATTTTATACAAGAGTTGCCTTTCAAAAAGGTACAAACATGTTTAATGAAGCTGTCAAGGACATGGATGTCAGAGGTCACAACTTCATGGAGCTGTGATTTCTGCTTCATCCAAGTAGAGGGGATTAAGCTCATTTGAACGATGGGCATCTTTCCAGTGACTTCATTGGGCTTTGATTCAGGCCCTTCATCATGATAAGCATTTTGATTAGCGATAGGGAAAACAAATACTTTCTCTTATACAGAGCACTCAAGGCACCCCACTGATGTTACAACCCACGTATTTCAGATTTCAAAGGAGTTTGAACAACTTATTAGGATAGGTATCATTCTGCCAGTCGGACAGTATGGTGTGCATGTTCTGTCTGCCATCTTTTCACAGGTATATCAGGAAATATATCAAAGGAAATGGGTACACAAATGGTCAGATTTCAGGATGGAAAGAAGTAAACAGTGAGCTTCCCCCTGGATCTGTGTTGGAACCAGTGCTGTTTAACATATTTATAAATGCTCTGGAGAAGGGGGTGAGTAGCAAGGTGGCCACATTTGTGGATGACACAAAATTATTTGAGTGGTAAAGACCAAGGTGGACTGTGAGGAACCGTAGAAGGATCTGGCATGATTGAGCAAATGGTTAACTAAATGGCAGATGAAAATCAGTGTAGATAAGTGTAAAGTGATACACCTGGGCAAAAATACCCCAAACTGTGCCTACATTATGATGAGCTCTACATTAGCTGTTACTATACAGGAAAGAGATTCGTAGACTCATAGATTATAGAGTCGGAAGGGACCCAATGGATCATCGTGTCTGACCCCCTGCCCCTGACAGAAAAGAGGACCGAGGTCAGATGACCCCAGCTAGAGATCTGGGAATCATTGTGGACAGTTCTCTAAAAACATCCTGAGCAGCTGTAAAAAAGGCAAACGAAATGTTAGGCGTTATTAGTAAGGTAATTGTAAAGAAAACTGAAAGTAGTATCATGCCCCTTTATAAACCTGTGGTTTGTCTATACCTTGAATACTGTGCCCAGTTCTGGTCCTTACACCTTAAAAAAGGATAAAGATGGACTAGATAAGGTATAGAGAAGGGCAATGAGGGTGATGAGTGGTATGGAGGGGCTTCCATATGAGGAGAGACTAAAGAGGTCAGGCCTGTTCAGTTTAGAAAAGAGACACTTGTGCAGGGGCTATGATAAAGGTTTCCAAAACACTAAATGGCGAAAAGAAAGGAAATAGGGATTTATTACCATATTTATTATTTCTCACCATGCAGCAACTAGGGGTCACAAAATGAAACTAATAGGTAGTAAGTTTAAAACTAAGAAAAGGAAATTCTTTTCACACAGTATATAATTAAAGTGTGGAACTCGTTGCCACCAGATGTGGAAGCTGACAGTGTAGCCAGATTCAAAAAGGGATTGGACAAATTTTTGGAGGAAAGGGGCTAGGAGCACAATCTTGAGCATGGGAGCTAGGAGTACAATCTCTGAATTAGAATTTCCTAGACCTTAAATGCTGGAGGCTGCAAGTGAGAGAGGAGCAGTGGGAAAAAACCCTTGTGTAGCAGGAATCCACCCCTGCTATGCTTACCTGGTAGTCGAGCCGACACCAGGGAAGAAGTGGCGAGGCTGAAAGGAATGCAAGCGCAGCCCCTTTTAACTGGATGCTGGAGAATGATGTCAGGGGTGTGCAAAAATTAAAAGAGGAATAACAAGACTGTGGGGGAGGGGAGGATGCCCAGCTGCAGGGACTGGAGGACAGATCCTGAAACTGGGGTCAAGACGTGGGATAGCATACTTACTGGTGGCAGCAAGGAGATGCTGGCCAGTGAATGCTGGAGCTACAGCAGAGACCTGGCCCAGTTTATAGGAACCCCGACTGGGATAAGACGGTACCTGCGAGGGGCAGTAACCTCAAGTAAAGTGGTGGGCCAATAGCCATCAGAAGTGGGGCCGTACTCCTGTTGTGATCAAGAGCAACAGGGAAGGGCACCCCTGAAGAGAAGGTAACCCCACTGGAGGGAGGAATAACCTAGTGGCCGAGTGTGCCCAGGGATTTTGCAGCATATGACCGCCCAGACTATCTCTAAGGAATTTCATGATATTGTAAGTGAGGCCAAAAGGGCTCTCCTCCAAAGGGGGAAACCCAGAAAGAGGAAGATGGGGGAAGGAAGGATACCGACCCCTCATGACGTATGGTTGCTTTGGTTTAATATTATGATGAGTGATGACAACTCTTTATTTTAGTTCACTACCTCCATTGGCGGTTTAATAAAGGCAGGGAACAAGCTGTGGAGATGCATAATCATCTTTGACCGAACATCTAGTTCCCAAGGGCAATCGAGATCCTCACAAGGCCTAATGAAGAGATCTACTGACTGACCAAGTGCTGTTAAGATTAGAGGGTGGAGACCTACATGGCGTAGGGGATGGTGGAGCCGTGTACTTAGACCCCCAAACCAGGGCTGTGGGCATAAGGCAGCCTCCCGCAATATATTCGTCCAACAAGTAAAGACATCAAGGTGTGGTATGTGAGTGTGAGACAGGCTGCCCATACAGGACAACCCCACACCCCTGTTACACCTTGTCATACCCAGTTCATTCTCCTTTTCATTCCCTGTTCTCTGCCATGGTATGACACAGCATATTGGGCAAGATGAAACTATGGTCTGACCCAGTAAATATCAATTCTTATGTTGTTATGAAATAGGCTTGAAAATTATGCATCCTCCAAAGGGATTGAAATAATCAAAAATAATAGGTGTCCTCTGGACAGAATCCTTTTCTTCTTTCTTACATCCCTTATACAATCAGAAGGGACCTCAAGGGTCATTTGGCCCAATCCCCTGCATCAATGCAATTCCTAAATCATCCCTGGCTTGTTTCTTCCACTGTCTCTTGAAAGTCTTCAGGTGAAAGAGATCCCACAGCTTTCCTGCACAGCTGATCTAAATCAACTGTGCTTCAATTGAAAGCCATTGCTTTGTGTCCTACCCTCTCCAGTAAGGTGAAAGTAAGGTTACCATATGTCCAGGTTTTCCCAGACATGTCCTCTTTTTTGGCCCCCTGTGCTGCATCCGGGCAGGTTTTTTAAAATAAGAACAAATGTCTGGGTTTTCCGCTGTCCTGGACAGGATGCTTTGGGCTGGGAGCAGTGGGCAAGGTGATTGGCTGTTGGAGGTCACGTGTTCCCCATCCGAGCTTCTGCAAGCCAGGGGGGAGAGAGAGAGAGAGATTGTGTGTGTGCGCGTGTGTGCGTGTGCGCGCATGCAGGTGTGACCTGCTCCTGGTGCTGGCACCCATTCTGCCCGCAACAGCCTCTCGCTGCTGGTCTCTGTCACTCACAGCCATATCTCCCCTTTCCCTTTTTACTCCCTCTGTCTCAGTTGCACTCCCCCACTAAAGCACATGATTTTACACTCACTGGGTCTTCCCCCGGCTGCAGGAGAAGCAGCCAGCTGCCCCCTGCATATTTTTACCCTTGAGGTGTGATCACCAGAGCCCAGGTCTGAGCCCAGGGACCCGGAGCCCAGACTGGGCATTGCCTGATTGGGTTGGGAGCAGACAGGAGTAGGGACATTGTGACATGGCTGGTGGGGGGTGTGGGGTGGGGGAGTAGGGGCTGCAGGTTGGGAGTGAGGGGCATCATCAAGGGTAGGGGGGAGCAGGGTATGGCTGTTCGGGAGTGAGGGGCACTGGCAGGGCTGGGGTCAGTGGGTCGGGAGTGAGGGGCAGCAGAATGGGCAGGGGCAGGGCACTGGCATGTCACCATCATGTTTCCCCCCCCACACAAAGGTGTTCTCTTTTTTGGACCTGGAATTTGGTAACCCTAAAAGTAAAAAGAATTTGAATCCAGGTTGTCCTGTTTACTAATCGGGCACCTTAACCACCTGAGCCATGGTACCTGCACAGGCTGTTCATTCCTAATGATACTCCTGAGTTCTGCTTGCGAGGCAGACTAAAGCTGAGCTCTAGAAGATTAAATGACCAGTTCTGCTCTACCATACCGTAACAAAGCTGGAGAGATTCCCTGCATAAAAATAGTCCAGCTGTTGGCTTAGATAAGGTATTTATTATTAAAAACAACGCATCTGCTACTATAAATTTGGAGGCCACTTGCACACAGTATACAGTGTGGCACAGTGGATGGTGCACCGGTCTGCTGGGTGATCTCATGTTAGTCTCATTCCATCTCTGCGCCTTGGTTTCTTCATATGTGGACTGGGGGAAAAAGGCCTTTGTGAGGGACTTTGAGGTCTGTAACTTGAGTACTAACGGGCAGGCATTTATTATTAATAAGCAGAAATAAAGACCTACTCCACACTCTGTGCCCTCATCCTGCTATGCAGCTAAGCATGTGCTGAAATTTCATGTACTTCACTGAGACTATTCATGAATCCAGGCTGTGATGGCTCTCATTGTAAGCAAGAGCAAACAAAGGAGACAAGACACTGGGTGACATGTCAGATGAGGAAGGGCTGTGGGCACAATAGATGAGAGAGGCAGAAGGGGCGCTGCACACAGTCTTTGGGGGTTGTGTCAGAAGCAGAGCTACACCAGTGGTTTGCTTACATCCGCAGTAGCATAAGGATGTAGGCTGGTAGCGGTCCTATCTTTTGACAGGACATGTCCGTAATGAGTATAGTTGTACAGGAGGCTCTTCCCTTCCCCTGTACCTCTCCTGCTTGCCAATATGATTGACATTTGCTTTTAAGTCCCCAATACTGGGCAAGACCCCAGCCAGCTGAGAATTTCATCCAGAGGTCATGGTGGGACCAGCAGACCACCTGAACATTCACGGATGCTGCTGGGATCAACCTCACACCTCCTTTCCTTGCAAAAGAAAACTGATACCTGGCCAGTACAGTTCAGATTGTTGCAGGAGCACGTGTCCCTGTCCAGGTGCTCTAGGGGTCACTGATTCATTCATATGCTGTTTTCCTGAGAAACAAGCTGCTACGGGTCAGAGCAAAGCACTGCATTT